TGACTGCGAGTTGAGTCAAATAACATTTTTCGGTAAATAATTGCTTCACTGACTCAAATTTCTACATCAGATCCGACAAGATCCATTCTACTGTTATTATTTTTTTATTATGCCTGCAAGCTGCAGAGTCTTGAGTTACCACGTACAATTACAAACTTTTGATAAATATAGTATTTTTAAAAAAAAGTAAATCAGATTAAGATGCTAAAAGATTATCAAATAGTTAGATATAAAATACAAATTAAGAGGAGTGAGAAGAAAAGGTACCAATATAAGAGTAGTATTGCTTGGAGGAGGCGAGATAAAATATTAGAAAATGAGAAAGACTAGTATTGTTTTTAAAATTATGATACTACTCTATTTTGTGTCTATCACCTATTTCAGTATAAGACGATGTTGTCATAGGAAAAAAATGATAGCATAATCTCACCATGGAAGTGCCTATTGTTGGCCTTCTTGTTTTGATGATGTTTAACAAACAATTTACGATTAATATTGTTTGTCTAGTATTTGTGTTTATTTATTTATTATAGACAAACAATATGTTGGAGGATGGATGGAATTGCGCTTCAACGATCATATCCAATGGAAATTGGCAGAATTGTGGAGTGAAGCCTATGCAATTCAAATTAAAGATCCAAGTTCTAGCTTCATCCCAGAGTTTACCAAGTCAAGCTTATTGAAGATCAAGATCAAGCTTGGGTAACATTAGTTTAGATTTATATTATGTGTGTTGGTACTTTAAGCTCAATCATATATACACACATGTATTTGGTTTCTATGTATATTTTATATTATGTGTGTTGGTACTTTAAGCTCAATCATATATACACACATGTATTTGGTTTCTATGTATATATATAGTTATATATATATATACATGCATGTTTTGGTTTCCAAGTTTATATAAATATCAAATTACATATTTTATATTTATTATTGTGTTTTGGTTTAATTTCATAGATATGAAACAAATATATATTCATATACATCCTCATATGTTTCATACTCTATTATATTTGAATTTATATTGCATAGAATATGTAATTTTGTAAAAATATTATTTTATTGGTTTTTGGACTTAACAATAATCATATACATCTTTTACTAAGTCTATATAATCATTTTGTAATGTTTTAAAACATTGTTAAGCTAAAATGTCAAAACTCATATGTTTATATTTTCATGTTTTGGACTATTTTGCAAAATGATCATATTTTTTTTTGAGAGGTCCTTTTTTGAAAATCAGTTTTTGTAGCATATGTATTATCATGTGTACAACCATTTTCCAAAGTTTTATATTTTTCTGAATTTATTTGCTATTTTTAAAGGCAGTTTAAAAATCAGCACTTTAATTTTCCAACCTGGATATCTGAAATATCAGTTCGCGGTCGACCGCCCTTGGCGCTGCGATCGACCATCGATAGTCCAAAGACTATGCTCTGTTTTTTAACAGCTCACGGTTGACCGCCCTTGGCGCTGCGGTCGACCGCCAATTTTCCAGAGACTTGAGATTATTTTTTAGAACTTCCCACTGTCGACCGGATGTGGCTCTGCGGTCGACCGCGACTTTTTCAACCTATTTCCCAACGGCTAGTTTTGGGGTCGACCGCCGATCAATAACGGCTATATTTCTGTACTTTTCCAGATTTTGTGGGATTTGGTTTTTTGGTCATTTTGCTTGGGTTTCTACTGATTTTTTGGGTTTTTATGAATACCCCCTTACTCTCATCTTTCAATATAACTAATGAAATGTTTTAAAACAAGTTTAAAAGAGTTTTAAACAAGAGTTTAAGTTTTTTTAATGTTTGTTTAGAAACTTTTAAGCAATTGAGGGTTTGAGTTTGTGAAATCAATTCTACAAGAGCTCGAGGAGATCATCTATTGGAGTTTGAGCATCCAACTATTCTCCCTGTATCTCTTGATCCATTGAGAAGTTTTCTAAACTCTATTTCTAGCTCTTTTATATATTTGATTATCATTGTTATTAAGCTAGAATTATATTGAGTTTAGTTTTGATTTATTTTATCTCTTTGTACACACACAACCATTGAGCTTATTGTATTTGCATACATTGTGTAATTGGGTTGTGGGTTTGTGTGACTTAGAGAGTGAGCTTATAATTCGTTCTCATATATTGTAGAGAACAAACACTTTGTATTTGTGCTTAAATTGTGAGGTTCACCTTGTAATACACTAGTACACCAAGAGGAGTCTGTGGTGAGAGACGGGATCGTCCCAAGAGGAGTGGCGTAAGTGGTAATGCCTAGAGGTAGGTTGTAATTCCTAACACTTGAAGGAGACACGGGCTAGAGACCAATACTTAAGGTGGTAGTTAGTGTAGTTACATTGTGAGTGTGGATTATAAAGTTTTCGGTTAGTTAGAAAATCGTATTGTGAGGTGTAAACGTTTTTCGAGTAAGCGTAGAAAACCTTGTGTGATAGTGGAGATCTCCTCGAGGTGAGGAGAGGAGATGTAGGTCGTGGGGACCGAACTCCGTGATCATATCGTTTGTTTGAGTTTGTATTGACGCACTTATTTTGGTGTTTATCATTATATCGCCTTTGTCAATTGCTCATTATTTATATTACCCACTATCTTATTTATCTTGTTTATAGATTATTTTACCCTTGTGTTATTTATATATCCTTGCATATATTTCATCATATATCTCATTGCTAGGATATATCCCTTTGTTCATATTGCTTATTCTTGCTCATATCATATTGTATATCTATCTTGCAAGAATAATTCTTGAATAAGTTTTAATTAGTATTCCCCCCCCCCCCCCCCCCCGCTCTAGGGTTCTTTCCTAGTGGCATTAGGGTCTAACAATTGGTATCAGAGCTTGGTGCTCTTTAATTGAAGGACTAATCGTCTTGAGTTAAAGATCCAAGTTATCTTATTTTTGTGCTAATCTAGTTTTGTAATTTTATTGTTATCTTGCTTGCACATATACACATTATGGATATGCACGGTACACCTTGTTTAGGTTATGCTATCAATATTGCTCCTAGATTAGATAATTTTCCCTATGCCCAATGGTGTGTTAGATTTAAACTTTTTGTTCAATCTAGACACTTCGATTTATGGGAAATTATAGATGATGTTTATATTATGCCCACTTCGGAGAAATCCAAGTGGAATAAAAATGATCATCGTATGTTTACCATGAATAAGTTTTTGTTAGAATTTTTACATAATGCGTTCGATTCATCTATGTCTAACAAGCTTGATTCTTTTGATAGTGCTTACACATTATGGAAACTTATAGAAGCACATCAAGGGAATTTGGAGGCGATCCGACAAGCTTTGGAGGATTCGGCTTCTAGTTCATGTGGAGCTTTATCATCTTGCACACGACCACTAGGCGATAGCCCTAGTGTAGTAAGCGATTCGAAACTCGATAGTGATATATCCATTAATGAACTCGCTTGTGCCTATGAGAGATTAATGCATGCCTATACTAAGTTGCATAATAATTTTATTAATCTTAAAAGCAAGCATGTTTCATTAAAATCCGATCATGAGGAGCTAGTGTCCAAATTTGATGTCATTGCAAAAGAAAATACTATGCTTAAAGAAAACAATGACTTGTTAAATTTGGAAAATGAAAAATTAACCTCATCCATCACTAGCTTATCTCATGCTAAAAATAATACCATGTTAGAAGTGGAGAACATAAAAAATGATACTGCCTCTTTCATAAATGACTATTTATGTTCTACTTCTAATGTTAATGCATATGTGCATATTGATGAGTTGAGCAATGTTAAAAACTATATTTCTTCTTTAGATTCAACTCTAACTACTTGCATTAACAACCATAAGAAGCTTGTGAATATGTGTGCTAAGACTAAGTCAAAATCATCCACTCATTATGCACACATGTATAGCAAAACTTATAAGTGTTCTATTTACGGTCTTTATTAGCTAAATTTTGCTATGATGCACACAAACATAAGAATGCTAATGCTCCTTGTGCATCTCATGTAGCTTCATCATCTTGTACACTTACACATTCACATGCTCATTCTCACATTGTTCATCATAAGCATGCTCATGTGTATAGATGTGATCATTGTGGTCGTTTTGGTCATTTGGCCGAATATTGTTTTGATTTGAAAAATAAATCTCATTTGCCAAATGTTTCTAGTAGATCACATGTTTTTAAATGTGATGTTTGTGGTAGGTTTGGACATCTTGCAAAATTTTGTTATGATATACAAAAAACTTCTAAGCAATATGTTCCAAATAGACCTTTGTTTAATGATGTTTCTCATTTGCAAAATAATTTTAAAAGACAATCTTTATTTGTAAATGATTCCCGTGCACGAGCTAATGGTCCATAAAAATAAATGGACCTCTTTCATTGAACAAATTACAATCGGAAGTGTCACGCCCCGCTTCCCAAAATACCAGGGAATCGGAACGTGAACAAGTCCGCGACGTATTAG